GAACTATCCATATTTTTCTTCCGAATTCCGAACAGAATAGCATTAATTCGGTTTCATTTCAGTTTCGGTTTGGTTCGGGTTTACCGAACCGTTTGCCCACCCCTACGAGTGAAAGGCCGAAGACTAGTTGCCTAGCAAAGAAAGAACTCGAAGGTGGGCCGAGGCCCAAGATGGGAAAATATGGTTCCCCTTCTCTCTGTCAATCGACGAAGAGAAACGAAGGGAGGCAGAGTGGGTTACAAACATGAACGGACAGTCCGGGGAAAAATGGCTGGAAATCTTACGGTAACCGACGACTAGTTGATCAACGTATGGAGATTAAATGATGTTTATTGGAAGTTATTGGGATCCTTTACTATTAAACGAGTGATGGAAGGAAGTCAGTGAAATAAACCCATAACTGTTGGGAACGATTAGAAACAAGAGGATAGGGTGGAACTGGGAACGAGTGGGGCAAGGGACAAGAGAGAGGGAGGGAGCTGGAGGTTAGTGTCATTCGAAGTTGTGCGTGCGGGACAAAGGCGCTACGGGAGCTTGGGAAGTATTTTTCGGCAATGATGAGACGGGATGGTAGGCATTGACGTGTTGATGAACCACGAATGAAGACTCTAATGGATTGCTGAGGTACGGACCGAATCCCTAGAATCCTTGATCGATAATAATGATGATGCTTTTGATTAACTAACTCGGCCAGTAACTTGGAGGTTTAACCAACGCAAGAAACTTTGGGAAAGTTGGATTGGTTAACCTTGGTAAAGTGTGGGGTTATAAGCGGTGATGATGACTGAATGAATTCGTTTGGGTGGATGGAATTATATATATATTGTGTGGGTTCAGATTAGATGATGATAAATGGACATGGGGGATTAGCTGGAACTCCTACGTATGCATGGAATTGTGTTTGAGGAAATCCAAGCTAATATTAGCAAAATGCTAGCAGGTTCATTGGGACAAATTGGATCGCAGGGATGGTTTATCGCAAAGGGTGCAAGGAGTGATTGTGAATGGAGCTAGGCATGTTTCTATCAAAGTGAAGAGGTGGAATTAAAACGAAGTTGAAGTTTAGGCACGAGTCAATCGACTTGCATAAAGTGAAAAGGGGTAATATCTCCGTCGTAGGTCTTTTAGTTTATGTCTTTTGATTCAATTATGTCTGTTATTTTCAAGTAAGCGCGATTATGTGTGTGAGGCATCCCACCGCCTTCTTAAGATGGAGGCACGCGTTGTGCTATGTATGTGAATGTGTGTGGTTGCTGGTAAGATGAATCCCCGGGCGGTTGGGCCACTACTGGACGCGGTAGATGGTCTGATCACTGCTGGACGGCGAGACGTAACGCAGCAGTTGATCGAGTATGTTGGGGTAACTACTGGACAGCGAGACCTAACACAGTAGTTGACCTGGCATGGACTGGACGGCGAGACATAACGCAGTGCCATGTTCGAGTTTGGGTATGCAACCGGACGGCGAGACATAACGCGGTTGGCATACCAAGAAGGACACCGGACGGCGAGACGTAACGCGGTGGTCCTAGTGTTTTGTGTTTTAGTTAAGGATAGAAGTCAAGAACTTCTATGAGTTAGGCCAGAATAAAGTGTTAAGGATAGAAGTAAATAACTTCTATAAGATAATGTTAGGAGTAAAGATATTTCATAAGCTGTTGAGTTAATGTTGAAATAAGTTATTGAGGATGAAAGCGAGAACGACTTTCGTCTAAACCAGCAACCCTAATAATGTGTCTTAGTAAGGGTTTGCTTAAGGCAAAACCTTAGGAAGTAACGACGAGACTGGCCCCTTTCACTCACCAGATTGATGATGGGTTAGCAGAAGTGGATCCTGAGAAGAAGTAAGATGAGGCGAGCGACCGTGCCAATACTGTTGAGATGTCAAGGAGTTGGATGAAGAGTTATAGTTAAAATTTGATAGTTATTTTATGTTTATGATTATGAGTATATGTACTGGAGATTCAAAGTTCAAGATTCTGAGTTAAGTGTTTTAAGTGTTTGGATCATGATTACCCAAGTGTTGGTGCTTTTCGTTTGAAATTCTTAAACATGGTCAGTTTGTTTATTTTAAAAAGTGGTTTGGGTTGCTCCGGAGTAACTAGTTTTCGGTTTGAGTTTTGGTTTCTTTATCAAAAAGAGTCGGGTTGTTTCATTTTGGTATCAGAGCCGTCACTCCTCTATCTCTTGGTCTCCAAGGAATACTGGAGTGACGATCTGAGTTTTCAAGGTTTATGTTCTTAGAGGAAAGGAAAAAGGGTGTCAGGTTAAAGGTTTGGCCAAATGAGTCAGGGTTTCTTTTAAGGATTTTTAGAATCTCCAGTATATTCTAATCATGATTGGGAAATAACTCTATTAGGCTTGAGGATGATGATACGTCTCGAGAAGGAGAAGAGTAGATTCCTAAGGGGGCGGGGGGGATTGTTTAGTGAAACCCTTTCACGAGTTAGAAGAGGAGATTCAAGGCGGCTCATTTCCTACGGAGATGCGAGCTGATCAGAATAGGGATCAGGAAGATGTCAAGTATCTAGTACATCGTCAGGAAGTAGCCCATGTGTACAACAAATGGCGCCATAATCTAGAAGAAAGGATGCAAGGAAGGTTTGTTGCGTTCGCAAGGATCGAGCTTAAGTAACACTGGGGGCATAGAAAGAGGAATTAGAATAGGTCTTAAGGAGCCCGATAAATCTTCAAGAAGGCCGATAACAAGCTTTGGAAAGGAGGTGTTACTCAACGAGATAGATGTTATAAAGAATAAGGCTTGGAGAAGTCAGGATCAACAAATTTCGAGGTCGAAATGTTTCTTAAGGGGGGAGGAAATGTGATACCTCGACTTCGATTTAAGGCCCAACAACAAGTACTGGCTGAGCTGGACCAATAAGTGGAATCAAAAATTTTATTCCATCACCCGAGTGAGGGAATTAAGAGGACGAGTAGCCAGTCAAAGCTACTTGATGCTAACGAGTTTGGTGAGAATACCCTTATAGTCAAGAGGGAATAGAATAAGCGAGGTAAACTATAATGGACAAGCAACGGACATCGTCAAAGGTTATATAACGAGTAAATTTTTTAGGCAAGGAAATTCATATAACGACTAAACCTGCTATACTATGCATTGGTAGGTGGTTACACTTGGCCACTTTCTAGTGTGACAGTACAAGCAAGTCATAGGCCAAGTTGTAGTTCACCTAAGTCAGGTTGATTGATGTGTAAACTAAGGAAAGTTCTCAAACTGTCTGGAGTCTCGACTAAAAGCCTCCAGACCCTCTTAGTTTGAATACCCGGTGGGCGACTAACCTCCACCGGCGTAAGCTAACTAAGGCAATAAGATTCTAAATTCCTCTACTGGGTTCTAAACCCATATAGAGCAGTGAATCGACTTCTCGACTAAAGTTGCCGATTCACTGCCTCCAATTCAAGATGCTCTATTGACCTATGCAGAGATTATCTTCTAGGTCAAAGCAGGAATCACTAGAATTTGATCAAGACTCAAGCAATTTTGAATAAATACTTCAATTGGATATAAATCAATCAACATTCATGGCAAATGGTTCATACAACCCTTCTTAACATACAATCTAGGGTTCTTACATACCCAACTCATAGAGGGATTGCTCCATATAGAGAATGGAAAGACATGCCGGTTGTAGAAATCATCGTGTAGACGAAATAAATCTGCTCTAGGTCGTCAATTGTCACTCATCGAGGCTTGCATCGAGCTCCAATGATGGAGAAACTTGATCTAGAGCACATCTCTTTTCGTCACTTTCTCTCTCTAAACCTCTCTTTTTAGCTCCAAGAATCGAATAAATCTCAATCTCCCATTTCCCGTTCGTTAAACCTGACTTCCGCATCCCCGACCTAATTCCCCGATCGGGTATTTTAATGCCAGGCTGGGTTTTTCCCTAAATGACGGGTGGTAATTAGTCGTCAAGCGCGATTTCCCCGGTCTTAGGCTAAAACCCCCGATCGAGGATTAAGGGGTCATTGCCTAGGGGTATACGTGGACGACTTCCCTGGTCTCTGTTGCAATTCCCCGATCGGGGATTTGTTCTCGAGCTCCTCCTTTCATCCACTTGGTGCTTTTGACCTGAAACTCGTTTCCAAGCATGTATAGTCGATCCAAGACCTGAAATACATCATACAAGAACAACATAGCGTGAAATCAGTTTAAAAACGAGAATCGAGCCTCAAACAATATAAGAATGGTTTGCAAAAATATGTGCAAATATCGAGTTATCATTTGTCCACCCTAGTTTTATGAGACACACCTAATCTTCAGCATGCTCGCATTCAAAGTAGCGCGGGATAGCAGGGTCGATGACGGTACCCGAATTCATCACCACAACATCCAAACCATCCTTCTTGGCAAATTCCGACGCAACTGTCTCAACCATTGTATTCTCCTTTGTCGGTTCGAAAATTAGTGATGAAAAATCATTGGTAGTCAGAAACCACTGGCTAGATATACAATGAGGTTCTGCCACCCTTTTTGGACATCCAAGTATCATGTCAATTTTTCCATCAATATGTGTTTTATGGATATGACAAATAAGCTCTACCGAGATGTTTGTGGACCTCTCAGTTTTTCCATAGCTCTTCCGCAAATGGTGGACGACCATTACTTAAACAAATTTTTGAAAAATTACTTAAGGGGCTATTCACCTTGCTATGAAAGAGCGATACTAGCAGGCTGATATATCAACGGGAAAGATAGAAGGATGTTGAGATGTTTAGTTGCATTTAGATGGTGAGGAAATGAATTTTAATAAAATAAAACAAGAATAATAATACCTCTTTTCTTATTACGGGCATAAACATAATAATTTTGTAGACTGCAAATAACAATATTTGCCGCCCACAAAATTATTACAATACATATTTGAGTCCGTCTATTTAAAAATACAAATTTTCTTTCTATTTTGCCGATGTGGGTCACCGATGTTATTTAATGATATTCCAGTATGCTGGTTCGCTTATTTTTCTGCCTCCTATTATCTGTTCCTTCATTTCGCCTTCTAACGGGCAGATCCGAGCTCAAATAGTCCAATACCACCTCCTCCTAATCTCTGCTTTTGCTTCCTCTTACTCAACGCCGCCATCTCCAGCAATATTGAAGGCGTCGGCGTGAACTGGGCACGACGACCCTTCCACCCGTTGCCGCCGCGCAAGGTAGTGAAGCTCTTGAAGTCCAACAAGATTACCAGAGTTAGCTCTTTGATTCCGAAGCGCTAGTGCTTTGAAGCTCTTTCCGGCTCCAATATTGGCGTCACCGTCGGCTATCCCAATTCCCTGCTCAAGACCTTCAACTCTTCCAAGAAAGCAGTCAAGAGTTGGGTCCACAAATCAATAACGTGACCTGTTACTTCTTCACCGCCCTCGCAGGACTCCGAATTGAGTAATGTTCTTTACTCCTCTCTGTTGGCTAGTATCAACAGTTGCTTTTAATTAGTCCCGGTTTGATTATTGCTCTTGGGTCATTTGCTTGTTGGCAATTTTGTTGAGCTTAGAAATTAAGAACGACTAGAAACCTTACCCAAAAGTCAAGAGAAGAGCTAGAAATGGCAGGGAGAGAAGATGCGAATCAACCGTTGTTCTTGCACTTACTGTTACCCACCAACCGCTTGATGGTTTGTCTAGCTCAAGAATGCTCGATCTGCTGAATTACTGCAGATACAAAGATGTGCATGAAACTTGGCATCTTCATTTCGTTAATCCCGAATGGAGAGGACACATTATAGGTCAAGTCATATGTTGCTCTATATATACGACTTAGTTTTGTTTCTAACCGTATCTTATTTTGAGCGCTAGTTCTCCCCAAATACCTTTGTTGATATCTTTCTCACAGTCCGTTGAGGAGATTGAACTCAAACTAGGCTAGAAAAGTATTTATGTCTTATTTTCTTAAAACTAGCTACTGTCCTACTTTAACGATACTACAAAGAGTTGCTAATTCTTACAAGCATAAACGTTTGATTGTTTTTACTTACAGGAATGTTTGTTGTAGATGAACCATTTCACCAGATGTACGGTGAACAGTTCCATCCATCTATCATTGGAGCAGCCATCGGCGTGAAATCAGGTTTAGCAAAAGCAAACCTAGGAAATGAAGCAAAAGTACTGGAGGTGGTTCCTCTTAGTTCAGATTCAGTTCACTATGAATCGGGTCTAACTTCCAAGACAAACATCAGGCCTGACCTCAACAAGACATTAATGCTCGAGCTCCTTACATTCCTTGAAAAGCATCATTCACCCTTCTTCATAGCCATCTCTCCCTTCTTCCTGCAAGATGAGAACGTTTCCCTCGACTTCGTGAAGTTCAAGGAAACTGCACGCCCTCGTAACGATACCCGCGGCAGAACATACAGAAACAGCGACACATGAAACTGCAGTTGTCGGCTGCACCAGCTACTCCCGGGTTTCATGGTATGCCCACACTACAAGAAAACAGATGTTGACAATTTGTGTCGGTTAGTATTCTAACTGACTATTCTCATCGAATTTGTATGGGTTTTGTGCTAACATACACAATTTGATAACCGACACAAATTATGGTGGATTTGAATTTAGATGAATTTTTTTTGGTTGTTTTTGCTCCAAAAGATTTGACTTGTTTTTGCTGATTTGTATTGATTGTTTAGTTTAATGTAGGGTTTGTATAGTTGGAATGGTTTGTCTGTATACTTTTTGCGTTGCTTGTATTGATTGTTTAGTTTATGTGTTTTCATACCTCTGTTTGTACTCTTCGTGGTTTTACAGTTTGTACACTTTTTTGCTCATGTTCATACAGTTTGTACACTTTGTTGCTCATTTTCATAGTGTTTATGTATATGCTTTTGTACAGTTTATTACTCTGCTTCGTATGGTTTGTTATTTTTATGATTCTGCTTTGTATTGTTTTTTTATTGTATAGTTTGTATGCTTTATCGTATTGTTGGTTGACTTGTTCTGTTGTTGCTTTTGTAGCTTTTAAGTAAGGATGGTAGAAGGTTCAGAGGTGGGAGGGTCAAGTACCTGTGCTGCTGAAGTTGAAGTTACTAAAACTAAGAGGAAGGTAGAGAACGTTAAGAATAAGGGGAAGGAAGTTCAGATTTCTGAGAGAGGGAAAAGGGAAAAAAAGGTCGATGCTGGAGAGAAGCAGTAGGCAGCACCTCGCGGAAAAAGGCAGAAACGAACTCCGGGGGGGAGGAAATAAAGCCGCTTTGAACTATCGATGCAGCCCGAAAGAGATTCTTAGTCATGTTAAGCCTCCTTTATCTGATGGCATGGTACAATTGATTAAGCAGTTGGGTGTGGATTTTGTGTTTTTGATGAAGATGAAACATCTGGACAATGAACTTATTAAGTTCATTATTTCAAGGTGGGATGTGAAGAACAAGTGTATCAACTTGGATGATGGGAATAAGATTTGCATTACAGAAGAGGATGTTTACCGAGTTTATGGCCTTCCAAGGCGACCAAATGTTGTTTCTTTGCTGAAAACATCAAAGGATAATTCTAAGCTTGCTAAAAATTATGGTTTCAGTAAAACAGGGAAGGGGACTGTTGCTTTTGATAATTTGAGGACTTGTATGGGAGCAGAGAAGTCTGATGATTCTAGGTGGTGAATATGTATGTGCTGATGATTTTTTGCCGACTTTTCAAATATCTTTCATCAAGGACGGTGAGAACATAATACTTGACTTTTCTTTCTCAAGAAATGGTAAAGTATTTCTGTGACTATGATTGGTGCAGTTATGTGTATGGTCTCATTTGTGATAAGGTGACATCAAGTCAACATAACAGTTGGGTTCAGGGAGATATGCACTTCTTGCTTATTTGTTTTCTCGATAGGACAACTGTGAATGAGGAAGAGGCCAGCCGCTGTGTTAGTAATTTGGTGCCAACATGTCAGTTGTGAAGTTCGAAACTTTTGAAGCAAAGGAAGGCATCAATGGAGAAGAAGCTTGGGAAGGATTTTAGTAAAGTTTTTATTCTAAAGGATGCACCCATTTTTTCTAGTACTCGTCCGGAGATGGCTCAAAGTCTTAGTGGTCTTGAGGTTGCTGAAGCTGAGAAGGGTGCCGGTATTGGAGATGAATTTCCAAACTTCAATTTGAATCTGGATGGGAAGACTGTTCAAGAGGTGAGTTTGTATGGTTTTGTGTGTGTTCTTTAGTTACTTTATACAGATTGTTTATATACTTTATAGTATTGTTTTCAAAATTTATAAGCTTTATGATTTGTTTCTGTATTGTTTATATTATTTCCTATTATTCTTAGTATAGCATGTTTGTATACTTTGTATTATTTGTACTATTTATATACTTTGTATGTTTTGGTCTCATCATTTGTACTGTTTGTATCTTTTTTGTGTCAAGTTTTGTACAGTTTGTATACTTTATATATTTTTTCTATTACTTTGTACTGTTTTGATACTTTGTATGTTTTGATATATTACTTTGTACTGTCTGTATTACTTTGTACATTCTCTAACTTATGTTTGTACAAAGTAATACAGACAGTACAAAGTAATATATCAAAACATACAAAGTATCAAAACAGTACAAAGTAATAGAATTAATATATAAAGTATACAAACTGTACAAAACTTGACACAAAAAAGATACAAAGTATACAAACAGTACAAATGACGAGACCAAAACTTATGTTTGTACAAAGTAATACAGACAGTACAAAGTAATATATCAAAACATACAAAGTATCAAAACAGTACAAAGTAATAGAATTAATATATAAAGTATACAAACTGTACAAAACTTGACACAAAAAAGATACAAAGTATACAAACAGTACAAATGACGAGACCAAAACATACAAAGTATACAAACAATACAAAGTATGCAAACAGTACAAACATGCCATACTAAAAATAATAGGAAATAGTATAAACAATACAGAAACAGATCATAAAGCTTATAAATTGTGAAAACAATACTATAAAGCATATAAACAATCTGTACAAAGTAACCAAAGAACACATACAAAATCATACAAACTCACTTCTTGAACAGTCTTCCCATCCAGATTCAGATCGAAATCTGGAAATTCATCTCCAATACCTGCACCCTTCTCACCTCCAGCAACCTCAAGACCACTAAGACTTTGAACCATCTTCGGACGAGTAGTAGAAAAAATGGGTGCATCCCTTAGAACAAAAACTTTACCAAAATCCTTCCCAAGCTTCTTCTCCATTGATGCCTTCCTTTGCTTCAAAAGTTTCGAACTTCACAACTGACATGTTGGCACCAAATTACTAACACAGCGGCTGGCCTCTTCCTCATTCATAGTTGTCCTATCGAGAAAACAAATAAGCAAGAAGTGCATATCTCCCTGAACCCAACTGTTATGTTGACTTGATGTCACCTTATCACAAATGAGACCATACACATAACTGCACCAATCATAGTCACAGAAATACTTCACCATTTCTTGAGAAAGAAAAGTCAAGTATTATGTTCTCACCGTCCTTGATGAAAGATATTTGAAAAGTCGGCAAAAAATCATCAGCACATACATATTCACCACCTAGAATCATCAGACTTCTCTGCTCCCATACAAGTCCTCAAATTATCAAAAGCAACAGTCCCCTTCCCTGTTTTACTGAAACCATAATTTTTAGCAAGCTTAGAATTATCCTTTGATGTTTTCAGCAAAGAAACAACATTTGGTCGCCTTGGAAGGCCATAAACTCGGTAAACATCCTCTTCTGTAATGCAAATATTCTTCCCATCATCCAATTTGATACACTTGTTCTTCCCATCCCACCTTGAAATAATGAACTTAATAAGTTCATTGTCCTGATGCTTCATCTTCATCAAAAACACAAAATCCACACCCAACTGCTTAATCAATTGTACCATGCCATCAGATAAAGGAGGCTTAACATGACTAAGAATCTCTTTCGGGCTGCATCGATAGTTCAAAGCGGCTTTATTTCCTCCCCCCCCCCCCCCCCCCGGAGTTCGTTTCTGACTTTTTCCGCGAGGTGCTTCCTTCTGCTTCTCTCCAGCAACAACCTTTCTTTTTCGTTTCCCTGTCTCAGAAATCTGAACTTCCTTCCCCTTATTCTTAACGTTCTCTACCTTCCTCTTGGTTTTAGTAACTTCAAATTCAGCAGCACGGGTACTTGACCCTCCCACCTCTGAAACTTCTACCATCCTTACTTAAAAGCTACAAAAGCAACAACAGAACAAGTCAACCAACAATACAATGTTAACTGCAGGAGCAGCTTGAAGGCCAAGGCAAAGATTCAAATCACAGCTGGAAATGTGGCTGCCCAAAAAAAAAAACAGTTAAGGCAAGTTCTCGAGCCAAAGGAAGAAAGAATAAGAACTTACCATACATGAAGATCTCAAGGGAATTTGAATTCCCAACAGCTACATTGCAACCTATAAAAGGTGATTTGAAGGAAGAGCAAGGCAACCTTTCAAGTGATCAACAAAGCTAGCTAAGACAAAAAGGGATTTTGTGAGAGTAGCAAGGTTGATAGGAAAGGGGGGTTTTCTCAAAGGGTTCGGGGAGAATTGCTTTGAGGGTTAGTGTTGGGGAAACACTGGTTACGAGTTGCTGGGGAAGCAATTCGGGTTTTGTGAGAGTGCTTGTGATTAATCAGGTTGAGATTAGTCACAGGGGTTTTCGGGTAGATAGTTTGTAACGACGAACTTCAACGCAAAATCATAGTGAATCGTCGGATATCACACAATCGTGATTCTCCGACCGTGGAGTAGTCAGTATTGGGATCCTTATTCTCCCAATACTGGAAACCACGTAAAAATCGTGGGTTGTGTTCGCATTCTGTTTTTCAGTTTCAGTTTTGTATGCACCACTGTGTGTGTTCTGTTTCAAGTTTGAGTGTGCAGGGAAACTAGATCAAGAAAAGCTAAGGAAGGCGAAGCGGCAGAACTGGGTTGGAGAATCTATCGCGACCTGGTTTGATTTAAATTTCATCTTAATTTTCTGGGTTTATACTGCAGTGTTCTTTGAGTTCTTCCCCTGTTCTTCACTCAACTATAATTTGGTCTCTACTTGATCGAAATTACTTAGGCGGGAAAGGTAGTCTTAGTTTTAATTAAAACACTGTCGTTTGAGTGCTTCTCTTAGAAGCTGGGTCGGGTTTAGAAATAGGTAAACTGGGCTTTCGGTTTTATTTTTTACTTTCTTCTGAACTCAAACCATCGGGCTTACAAGCCCATTTGTGTTAGACTAAGTTCTAATAGGTGGGCTTCGATTTAGCTGTCTAAGTGAGAGTGAAACTTTAATTAATTAGCCTAACGTGTTGAAAGAAGCAAAAGGGAGTTAGGTGTTTTAGGACATATATTAAATCTCTCTCAAATATTTCTTGTGCCAAATATTATCATTGAGCTTAAATTGTGGTCAAGTTATTTGAAAGACAATTATTAAGTCTCGCGCTCAACGCAACCAACACGTGGTATCAGAGCCCGGTCACCGTAGAACAAGGTTCAACGACCTCCGGTGCTAATCGAAATGGCGTCGGGTTCCAAGAATAATGCTCCACTTTATTTGGCTGACGGATTCTCTCAAAATCGGCCTCCCAGATTTGAAGTAGTTAATTATGGGTATTGGAAAAATTGCATGGAATTATTTGTTGGATCTACAGATCCAAAACTCTGGGCTAGAGTCATCAAGGGTCCATATGAGCTCAAGGAGGATCAAGAAAATTGGACAGACGAGGACTTGGAAAAATTTCAACAAAACTGCAAGGCAACTAATCTTATGTATTGTGCACTCGGTCCTGAAGAATATCACAAAGTTGCTAGTTGCAAGACTGCTAAGGAAATCTGGGATAAACTCCAGGTTACTTATGAAGGTACCTCTCAAGTCAAAACATCTCGAATTAACTCCTTAAAACAGCAATTCGAGTTGTTCAAAATGGAAGAAGGAGAAACGATCCGGCAAATGTACGAGCGTTTCACAAACATTGTGAACAGTCTGGAGAATCTTGGGAAATCATATGAAAGTGGAGATCTTGTTCGAAAAATCTTATGGGTCTCCCAGAGCAATGGACTCCAAAGGTAACTGCAATAGAGGAAGCTAAAGACCTAGAGACATTAGCCATAGATGAACTCATCGGGTCATTAGCAACCCATGAAGACAAGCTCAATAAGGGAAATAATGATAAAGGAAAAAAGGGGATAGCCTTCAAGGCTACCACATACAATGAAGACACAGAAGATCTCGATTATATGGAGGATGAAGAACTGGCTCTACTAAGCAAACAAATTAGTAGACTACTTCGAGTGAGAAGAGAAAAACGAAGAGGAAACTTCATCAACAAGAATAGAGAAGTTGAGAAAGAAGGTGGTACATCAAAATACCCTCAATCAAGAGCTTTCCACAAAATCAGGATTGAACAACTTCAGCCGGTTAAGGTTCAAAACACTACCGGTTGCTTTAGATGTGGAAAAACTTGGCATATCAAGGCTGAATGTCCTCTAGCAAGAAAAGAAGTAGCCATGGCTGCAACATGGAGCTGTAGCGAAGAAGAAGAGGATGGAGAGGAAACAAGAGAAGAAAGCTACATGGCAATTGATGTTGAAGAGTCATCAGAAAGACATAACTCAAAAGAGGTAAAACCTTCCAACCATACTCATTTCAGTGACAGTGATTACTACAGTGAAGATGATCTATTAGTGTCCACTATCAAGGAAATTCAGTTGGAGTTTGGGAATGTTAAAGTAAAATACTCTAAACTGAAATCTGATTATGGCAAAAAAAACATCGAATATGATGAACTAAAGAAGGAGGCGGTCAGATTAAAAGAAGAGTTAAAAGAAACTACTAAGAAAGTTGAAGTCTTGGAAAATGAGAAATCGAGTCTCACGGTAAAACTTCAAGAATCATTAGAAGGAATAAAATTGAATCTCTGAGAAAGGAAGGTAATTCTTACCTAAATCACCCCACTAAGGGATGTTGTGAAAACTTAGGATCGAATTCATGCAGTAAAGGCAAGTCAAAGATTTTTGAAAAAGTCATTAAAGCATGAGAGGAATGGTTCTTCAAAACAAAGATATAGGAACATAGAATGTTTCTATTGTCATAAGGTGGGGCACATTAGGCGAGTATGTAGGAAGAGAATCCTAAATGAAAAATATAGAACTTGCTTTGCTTGTCATCAAGTCGGTCACATTAGTAGATTTTGTTCTATCAAAGATCACAAACAAACTGTATCCAAGAAAGTCTAGATACAAAAACCCAAAACTGCATGACTGCTAATGGCGCAGGTTTGCTTCCGAGTGAGCATGGAGGCAACTGAATGGATACTAGACAGTGGATGCTCACACCACATGACGGGAAAGCGAAACCTATTCACCACACTCAAAGAAGGTAAAGATGGTAATGTATTTTTTGGTGACAATAATTCTGCCGACATAATAGGAAGAGGAATAGTAGGTTCAGATCCTTGCATTGAGAATGTGATGCTAGTAAAAGGTCTTAAGCATAACTTATTTTCAATTAGTCAAATGTGTGGTAAAGATAAGAGGATAGTCTTTGAACATGATAGTTGCTACATCGAGTCATTAGTTGATAAGAAAGTGCTTTTCACCGGGAGACATAAAAATAAGTTATATGTCATAAATCTAGATGATAAAGAAAGTTTTAAGATAACTTGTCTAATGTCAATAGAGAAAAATGATCAAATAGATTGGCATAGGAAGCTTGGTCATGTGAGTATAGGGATTCTGTCTAAACTAAGTGACCTTGAGCTAGTTAAAGGTCTACCTAAGTTAAAAATCAAGAAGTAATTCTTTGTGATGCGTGTGCTAAAGGAAAGCATACAAGGTCTAGCTTCAAGAGTAAGACGGTAATATCCACAACAAGACCTCTTGAACTACTTCACCTTGATCTCTTCGGACCTACCAATGTGAAAATCTATGGAGGTAAGTCTTATGCTTTCGTAATTGTGGATGACTATTCTCGTTTCACTTGGGTATTGTTTCTAGCTAGCAAAAGTGAAGCTTTTCAAAATTTTGAGTCTCTAACTAGGAAATTGGAAAATGAAAAGCAATCTAAGGTTGCTAGCATTAGAAGTGATCATGGTGGAGAATTTATCTCAAAAGAGTTTGAACTCTTCTGTAATAAGCTAGGAATAAGTCACAATTTTTCTGCTCCTCGAACTCCGCAACAAAATGGAGTGGTGGAAAGAAAAAAGCGGACTTTGAATGACATAGCTCGAACAATGTTACATGACTATGGTTTGCCTAAGTATTTCTGGGCTGAAGCCATAAATACTGCATGCTATATTACTAATCGAGCTTTGATTAGATCTGGAATTAAGAAGACTCCTTATGAGATTTGGAGAGGAAGAAAACCCAATTTGAGTTACTTCCATCCCTTTGGTTGCAAGTGCTTTGCATTAAACACCAAAGATCATCTTGGGAAGTTTGATGCCAAGTCCGATGAATGTGTGTTCTTAGGCTATTCCATGACTAACAGAGCATATAGAGTATTCAACAAAAGGACTCTCAAAGTGGAAGAGTCCATAAATGTGATATTTGATGAATATGCTAATGAGTGTTCAGATGAGATAGATGAAGATGATTTTGGACTTGGTGGGAGCTATGATCTACCAAGGACATCAAACACGGAGAAATCTGAACCCAGAACGATCATATCTGAAGACCAAGATAAAACAGTAAGTACTACAAACTCTCCGATCGAGCAAGACCATGAAGTAAGACAACCTCCTCCTCATATTGCCAAACGTCATCCTTCTTCACTTATGATAGGAGGGCTTAATGAAGGTATGGTCACTCGCTCTAGAAATTCAATTGTGCATACTGCTTTTGTGTCATTGGTTGAACCTAAAAACGTGTTAGATGCCTTGAATGATGAAAATTGGAATGCTGCTATGAACGAAGAAATGAGTCAGTTTGAACGAGCTAATGTGTGGGAGTTGGTACCCAGACCACCTAATAGAGTTATTATCGGGACTAAGTGGATTTACAAGATCAAGTCCAATGAAAATGGGGTAGCAACTAGAAACAGGGCTAGGTTAGTGGCTAAAGGGTATAATCAAGAAGAGGGAATAGATTTCGGTGAAACCTTTGCCCCGGTCGCCAGATTAGAAGCTATTAGAATGTTATGTGCGTTTGCTAGCTCTAAGGGTTTCAAACTTTTTCAAATGGACGTCAAAAGT